AAGGCCAGCAAGGCCTTTTGTTTATGGTCTTGCCCCAAGTTTTCTAACTAAATGGCCTCTGCCTTTGTTCTGCAGACTATTTATTTTGCCTAATGGACTCCTTGCTCAAGTGGAGCTGGAAGCTATACTCAGCAATGGGTTGGTCTCTGACTCCTCTTTTGCCTGGGTGGAGGCAGGACAGGTTGTAGGGCCAGCAAAGCTCTTTCTTTGTGGACCCAAATCAGACAGACCTATATCCCACTGAGTTCCCTGGTCAGATTGTGTCACCATCTTGGCTATTCAGATGAACAAATCTGTTGGTTGGGACTGCTACTTGAGTGCTGCAGGTAGGAATTTAGCCGGCCAAGATCCGAGTGCTGGTTGTTGCAAGTCCCTGCTCTGTCACAATCTGAGTCCTAGTGGTTGAGTCACACACATTGCCCCACTATCCCTGTATGGTGAGACCAGGGTGATCCACAATTCTAGGAGGAGCTAGATGTCCACCCTGGGCTCTCTTTTCGCTGGAGAAACTGTAGGCTCAGGGAAGACCTCTCACCATGGCACTGCAGCAGCCTATGAGAGGGGCAAAGTGGTCAGCCTGTAGCTGCTTTTTTTACCCTTCTAATGCAGTTTGTCTTGGTCTCTGTGGTGCATGGGTGTGCTTAAGCCTTTCTCCCCCTATTCTATTCTTTCAATGGTGTCTTCTACATAGTTGTTTTCCTTGTGAAGGGGAGCAAAGTCAGGAATGACCTATGTTGCCATCTTGATGTCACTCCAGAAATCTGAATTTTTAAATGGTGGCTCAAAATATTTAAAAGTCTGGAGGCCAGATCTAACACACAGCAATCTCTGTCTTAAAGAATAAGTTGGATTGGGAAGGGGGAAGAATGAGGGACAGTGCTTTAGGAGGAAACTTGCATGGGCAAAAATGGAAGGGACTTGGATCAAGTTTCTTCTCCAGAGAGTGGATAAGTTTGGCTGAAACAGTTTGGGGTGTGTAGGTTTGTGTCTGGGAGGGGATTGCCGAGGGAGTCAATAAGATGAGATGGGAGTCAATAAGATGAGATGAGAATTATAGGCTGTAGAGCTTAAATTTTGTTCAGCTGAGAATGATGAATCTTAACATGGGCAGCATCAGAGCTTTTCCTGTATATGAAGAGTATTAAACTCGTGTCTGGAGAGGATAGGGCAGGGAGAAAACCTTGTCTACCTCAACCAGGATTTGTCAAGGCCATAGAATGACTCCTGCATAGTTTCAGAATCTTGACAAAGCAGAAGCTATCATCTGGGCATGCCTGGCTAAAGACAAGACTGGGATACCTGATCATTAAGTTCTGTAACACAAAACTGGCTGAGCTCCTGCTGTCTTTGCTGCTTTGGTCTGCTTTCTGTAGCCCTTCTTGAGGCAAGTGGGTCAAAATCCTTATTGATTCCTCCTCCTGAAGTCTGTCTCCAGACAAGGGCCCAGCATGCAACAAGCTAATAGTATAGTTCATCCTGCTGCTCAGCAATCTGAATAAGTTCTGGCCCAAATATTACCCACCTGGTAGCAGAATGACCTGTCCTTGTTGCTCTGGTTCATCCAATCCACAGGAAAGGGGAAGACACTGGAACTACAAATAGAATCTGGAAAATCTCATTTAGGAGTTTGGGAATAAAAACCTAAGGGCAGATCATGGACTTTTAACAATTAGAGATGAAAATGAATTATTGAGTATGATTTTAGTAGCTGCTTTCCTTCTACAAAAGAGTGAGCAGGTGTGATTTTTCTTGGAGTTGCAATTATTACCATCGATTCAGTGCAATATTAAGTGGAAGGGTCTCTTGTGAGGTGCTGTGACATTTCGGTGCTCTTCAAGCACTAGAGTGACAGCCTGGAATCTGCGACCTCAATGAGCTTTATACTTTCCTGTTTGCTGCCCTATGAGTATTGGTCTGAGAAAGTGCCAGACTTCCCTGCAACCCAGAACTCACGGGTCCTACAGGAAGAAGTGGAGAGAATTGTGCCAACAGGCTAAGCAGCATGGGGTTTATGTTTCTTGTGTTCACCAGTGTGTATCAGAACATCTTTCCTGATAAGCAGCTGTTCTGTCTTCTCTATAGAGACTAGAGCAAAAATATGGACTTAATTATCTATTTGAAGGGTTTGTGTTGGTCACGAGGAGACATTTTCTGATTGACAGAGTTCTCTATCAATGAAATTGTTTCCCCAATGAAGATTCCTTTTGGAAAGATCTCTTAGAGGCAACATACATTCTCATTCATTTAGGACAGTGATTCTTTAAAACAAATAACCTTATTGAAATATAGTCCACTTACCATGCAATTCACCTGTTTAGAGTATACAACTCAGTAGTTCTTAACTATATATTCACAGAGGTGCGAAAACTTTACCACAATCAATATCGCCCTAGATAACCACTAGTCCACTTTCTATCTCTACAGATTTGCCTGTTTTGCATATTTAATATAAATGGAACATACTATAATCCTTTATTTCTGACTTCTTCCACTTACCCTGTTTTTAAGGTTTGTCCACAAACCTTCTTCCCTCAGCATAACTAATACATTTTCATAGGAAATAAGTTTTTCATAGGAAATCTTTCCAAGCTTCTATCCAGTCCCTAACAGCAAGTAAAACTAAAATAAGAGGTAATATATAAAGATCTAGCAGTACCTGTAATGGCTTTTGGAAAGGGCAGAATAGGTCCTTGCAGGATCAGGCTTGAAAAGGCTGAAAGAAATGTACTGCTCCACAGTGCAAGGGTCATCCAACTCAGGAACAGTGCTCTTTGTGCTAGACAGAAATTAGAAAAGTTCTGATGAGGGAAGAATGTGAAAGGATGATCAGAGTTTCTATGGTTAATTGAAATTGTTCATTGATTAATTGATGAAGACATGTGAACGCTGAAATAATTACTACCAGATAATATAGTCTGAGACAGATATCCAAGGCTGAAAGCTAAATCAGGTTAAATAAGATCAAGTCACTAAGAGCATTCTGGCTCCTGTGGTCAAGGACATTTTACTGACCTCAGATAGTACACCAACATCATGGAGGATTTTAAAGTTCAGATAAAAAGTCACATTTGACAAAGGCTTACATAGATTACCATATTTTCACAATGGCTAAATCTTTTAAGATCCCCACCTAGTTCAGTGCCTTCTCCAATCATAGAAATAAGTAAAAGAAGTGTCAGCAGAAGAGTAGGGAGAATGGAACCCGTAACTGAAACCTTTATGCCAAATTGTGGGATTTTTTTTTCTCCAAAGTTTCAGCCAATGATTTTGACCTCTTCAGTGGGATCCTGGTATCTTGTGATGTTAAGCCCCCTCCATTAGCACTGGAAAAATCCCTACAAGGAGGTGAATAGCACTAAAGATATTGCTTAGATCTATACTTTTCCTTTCCAAAATCTGAATCTGAAAGGTTATTGATCTAGCCCTATAATATACAAACATAAGAGAATTCTGTCAACATCAGATAGCCTTTTACGTAAAGAAACATAGAATGTAAGAGCTATATAAGCACTACCTAGAGAGACAAATGAAAGATAAATAGAGGCCAAAGATGGTTTGAAACACCCACCACTACTTTATAGACCCTGGCTCTACTCATGTTCCTTCAACTTAAATCTTGTAATTATTCACTTATATTTTAACAATAGAATAGACAGTAGCCAGTGAAATTCAAGGTCAAATAAAGTCATCTAACTGAATATATAGTATTATAACTAAATTAGAAATTTTAACTCATAAGAATTGCTTCACTATTTTAGAAAATAAGTATTTCCGGGTTATTATCGGAGGGATTTTTGACATGGATGCAAAATGTTAGTCCACCCTAGAAGCTGAGATAAAATCACATGATTTAATCATTCTGAATCCATATGGCTCCTCTGAGATAGAGCCAGATGTAACCAGAAAGATTTATAGTGTGTAAAATTCAGAATGGATTAGGAAAATATTTCTGTGTTCATCCCAATACATCCTAAATCAAAATGCCCTGAATGGACCAGAGCAATCTTTGGCCTAGTGGGGAGGTTGTCATGGCAACTGACCAGTAAGCCCAGACAGTGGAATGTGAATGCAAACAACAGGGTGATAAGATTGTGTACAGAGCAGCATACTAAAGCTGCTGCTCCCCAGGTACAGTGACACATCAGTGGAAGTGTGAAACTGTCACTGCATTTTTTATACCTTCTTGCAGTTCTGGCAGCTCATTTGAAATTTATCAAGAGTCCTTTCCCAGATGTCGGTAAAAACCTGATAGATAACGGAAGCTGTAGAAAAATCACCACCAATAGATGCAATGCTATACAAAACCCTGGAGGGCTGTTAAACTAATAACACCACTCACATTTCCTAAAGGAGGTTGAAGTTCGCTTAAGGTAAATCCAATGATGCTTTAGTGCCACCTTGTGTCCACCTTTAGATATTGGAAATTCCCCAAAAGCCCACCCTCAAATCTTTTATTGGGCAGCAGCAGGGCAGACATGGAAAGAACTAGATTATGTTGGAGTTTGGTAATCCCAAATTTATTAACTTGAAGCTTATTAACTTAGGCTTCAAGTTAATAGAAAAATGAAAATCATTTTGGTAGAATGCAAAACAGGGGAAGAAAAAATGCCAAATAACACCAGTCCTAGAAAAGATGGTGGGCCAGGCATTGGAGGAAAGGCTGGCAAAGACAGATTCCGTATTGATGATTCTTAATGCCATTACTAACTCTTGCCAAAGGATTAGTTTTAGGCTCATCAGCCATTCTGGCAGCATAAATGAATCAATAGAGAAAAAATAACATGTGAACATCACTAATTCCACTTTATAACTTCTGTTAATGGACAGAAAGATGGTAGCATTTGCTCAAATGACGCCTCATGCCTGCCTCTCATCTCTCACCCAAACCAAACCCGCTACCCACTACTGTTCCACCATCATCCCATCAGCATTCAAAACTATAATCAATTCTCACTTAATTTCAGCAGAAGTATGAAATGACCAAGCTGTGTTTCTTCCAGGGTTTGAGTTTTTTGAAACGAGTGCCAAGGATAACATTAATGTCAAGCAGACATTTGAGCGCCTTGTGGATATCATCTGCGACAAAATGTCAGAGAGTTTGGAGACGGATCCGGCCATCACTGCCGCAAAGCAGAACACAAGATTCAAGGAGACCCCTCCCCCACCTCAGCCCAACTGTGGCTGTTAGTGTCCTCACACCCACAGGCAGCTCTAGGGGCTTGGTTACTAACAACAAAAAGCATTTATAAATGGTTGATTAGCCTTCATTTATACTGCCTAATAATCATTTGAGGGAAATCTTTGATGTCAATGGCTAGTATATGCATTGAATTCTTGGGAGATTCCCTGTGTTAATATGTGGCAAATAAGTGATCTTAAATTTGTAAGGACTATCTATAAAGATCTGGTATTTGCATGTGATTTGTTATGTGTCTTCTAGGCTCTTTATGTCAGATTTCTTCTCAGATTAAGCTACTGCTGGGACCTCAGACTATAATTTCCTTACAACTGACTTTTGTGCCATTCATTCAAATTATGCTTTTCACTTGAAGAAATGATAACCAAGGAATTGCTTGTGTTGCGGAGGAGATCTCAGGAGACCTTATTTGCTTTATTCTTAACTGAATCAAGTGGAAATATATGTCCTAAGTAAATGACCAGTTTTCTGATCAGTTTACTACTTAAAAAATTTGTCTATTTTTCGGTATTACTGAGGAGACCCTTGACTATAAAGAAATTAAAATATTCTGTTGAAGGTCCTTGCAAGTTTCCTAAGAGATTAATATTTACCTGACTAGAACTAGATTTAAACAATATTCTTAGTTTAAATGTTTAAATATTACCCTAATCCAGGACCGCTGATTCCACTGAACATTCTGAATATTTGAGGCCAATGACAGGTATCTGCTGAACGTTACACAACAAACATTTCGACAAGGGTATGAATCTCTGTAAAATGCCAAGGCTTGAGCTCCTTCCCATTCCTTAATAACTAGCCCTCCCACAACATACCCTACCCCCGTAATATACACCACTACCACCATGACTTTCTGGAACCATCACCAGCTCTTGTAATAGAGGGTGCGTTGAAACATGTTAGGACATAGACTTCCTTCCCCAACCTTTGCCTTCCCTTCACACCTCAGCTAAGTTCTTTAATGCACTTAGAAGATATTTAAACAGTGTCTCGATGGCTCTCAGGTGGTAGAAAAAATTTTCATCTCTAATCTTTTTCAATCCAGGTGTTCAACATAATTCTGAAGCACATCCGCATTCTGTAAGCCTTTAAACATGCTCCAGTTACTCAGAGAATACTCTTGGGAGCTTAGAAATACAGAAACACATCAGGATGCCATAAGCAATTTGAGAGGAGGAAGGAAATCATGTGAACCAGATTTTCTTCCAGATTTCCTGAAGGCCACATATGAACATCAAGCAAACAGATCCCCCCAGCTATTCTGATAGCACTAGAGGAGAACTTGGCATCGGTGTCACCACCCAGCATTGTGTACAGCTAAGACTTTAAAAAGGCAGCAAGCACAGTGTGGCAGACTTAGAAGGACAGTTGTGTTAAATGGAATTTCTTCTCTTTCAGTGCTGATATTAAAGATGTTCTTCTTTCCAAAAATACAGAACCTTCTCATGAAAGTATTGGCTGCAAGTTTATTGGGCAAAGATATTGATAGGGAAACATTCATATATTTAAAGAGATTTCTGAAGAATAAAAGCCTACAAGTCAGGGAACTAGGTCATATATAAAATAAGAAGATGAAAATTATAGGAGAGCATTTGAGGTGTTTTAAGCATATCCATGTTATTTCTCACATTCTTAAGATCCATTAATTGGTAATAAATTTTTACTTCTGCATCCTGAAAGGCAGGCATAATCTTAGTGAAGAAAAGACATTAATGCTTTATTAGATTTCTAATGGGGCAACTAGCTTCAAAAATTACAGAAATTAAAGTGAA